AATCATCAACGCCCTCTGGAAGGGCTAAGATCGGCGCCTCGCACAACCTCTGCCTCAAAGTCTCGAACGCTGCCTGCTGCTCAGCCCCCCAACGAAAGACAACAGCCTTCTTCGTCAGCCGGGTCAGGGGTACCGCTATCTTGGAGAAATCCTGGATGAATCTCCGATAATAGCCTGCTAAACCGAGGAAGCTCCGAATCTCAGATGGAGACTTCGGAACCTCCCATCTCATCACTGCCTCCACATTGGCCGGGTCGACTAGAATACCGTTCTGGTTGACAAGGTGCCCCAGAAACTGCACCTCGTGCAACCAGAACTCACACTTCGAGAACTTGGTGTACAAGCTCTCCCTCCTCAGGGTATCCAACTGTTGGATTAGGTGTCTAAGCCCATAACTATAATTGATATGTACTTGACCTTATAGTAGCATGGTCCTTTTGGGTTTCCTTCACCGGAGCAATTTGATAGGATGAATATTTGAGAAAGAGGTTATTTGTGATTTATTAATATATTATATGAATAATATATTAATTGATAAATCATATTATTTAATTAGTATTCATCAAGAATTAATTTGGAATTAATTTAGTGATCAAAAGAGACTGATTAAATTTGCGGGGACTGATTAAGTAAATCGGTAATACTTATAGTTTGGGCTAATGATCTATGGTGATTAGGGATGGGCTAAACCTATATGAGAGTCCATGAAGGTTTAATCCAAAGGGCCTAAGAAATATGAAGATTCATGGTGAATTAGGGTTTGCATGGAAGAAACCCTAGCAATGATACACTATAAAAGTAACCCCTTAACACTTAAAATCGGCTAAGGTATTCTAAAGGTGAACCATAACCGATTTTGGTGTTTCCAAACCTCTCTCTAATAAGCCTCCTCTTGCTTTTGGTGTTTGTGACACATTAGAGACATCACATTTGAGGTGCTAAGCTTTTGAAAGGCCAAGAACTATAAGCTACAAATAAGAGGCATTCTTCTAACTAGTTTTTATGTTGTACATCTCCAGTTGCATGCTAGTTAGGGTATATGCTTTGGAGAATGAAATTGCATGTATAATTAGAGAAAACTTAGATCCAAAGCATCTAGGGTTGTATGTGCACCATAGGAGTGTTATAGTACTTAAAACCCAACAGTCGTATCAGAGCTTAGGGTGTTTTCTATTATATTGATGCAATTGTGTTATTTTCAAAGCTGAAAAAATTGCAATTTTGGACTCTGACTGCTAGACTCGACGAGTCCTATAACTGGACTCGACGAGTTGGATGATTTTGGTGATGAACTCGACGAGTCCATTGCCAGACTCGACGAGTTGGATCATCAGATGGCAGTTTTTTCGAGTTTTTAGCCAGAATTGGATTAGAATCATTACCACAAACTGTTTTGATTGATAAAAATCGGTTTTTTATGATATGGTAATGATTATCCTCATCCAATTAAAGGATGATTGTCAAATTTTTGATAATTACTTGATTTTGTAAAAAATGTTAATTATTTATAGAATTTGAATCATCTTGTTATATGAGTTAAATTAGGTCAATTTGGTAGATGATAAATTATATGATAATTTTATTAGTTAAATTTGATCTAAATGTTTCTTGAAGAGTTTCATAACTTGCCCTCAAGTTATGGAATTTGAAAAGTCTCATTCATGAAACATTAACTCCTTCAGTTATGGAATTGAAGAGTTTCAAAACTTGCCCTCAAGTTTTTGAATTTGAAAAGTCTCCTTTATGAAACTTTAATTCTAAACCCTAGAATTTTAAAATTTTAAAATTCAACCCTTATACTATTATAATATTAAAAGATTAATACTTATATAATATATGTATAAGACAAGTCAGTCTTACCGTTAGTAGGCCTCATTCACGAAGCTGGTTTATAAGGGGGGTATAAGGAAATTGCCTATAAAATGGCGATTGAATGGGTGTCCACTCTCACCCACCGCTTCCTTGACTAGTTGAGGGTCGTTAGCCGAATGGGTAGGATAGGACATTAATTCTCATTAAAAAGTATAATGATATTATAAAGTAACTAAACTTTTATAAATTCTCAATCTTTGTTACTTTAGGAAAAATATGAAACTGGTGCTACTCAATGAAATTGCACTTTGTACCTTGCCAAGTCGTTAGTGGAGTGTGTGTGGTTAACTAACACACTAATTTGGGACTAACAAGGGTGGCAAAGGGTAGCTCGAGAATTGTCATAGATCAATGGAGCGTGTGTGGTTTACCGACACATTGATTAGGTGGTAAATGACTCGAGAGTTCCAAGCACATTTGCATGGTTATTCACACCTTGTTTGTGATCCTCGGTATCCCAGTCACAAACTTTAAGGGCATAATCGAGATTTAAACATGCCATTGAAAAGTTCAATGAATCTCAAAAGAATCTAGGAATTTCAATTCATTTAAAACTTAATACTCAATTTCGTTTTTCATGGTGGAAATTGGTAAATCGTTATTTACCTACCTTCAAATATTTTGCAATTGGATTACGGCATCCCTCTTCCGAATTGTGAAATATTGTGTTGGTTCCTAGCCTTAATATTTAATTTGGGTGTTCTGTTAAGGATTCTTATCTAATCTAAACTTTGTCTTTCTTTTCAGATGTCTACCCCAAACACTGCTTCTAACTCAAACTCTTCTGGCTCTTTCTCCCTCATGAACTTATGTGGGAGGGTCATTTTTGATGGATCGAATTTCAATGATTGGATTCGAAACATCCGCATGGCCATTCGATACGAGGAAAAAGAGTATGTCCTCGACAAAGAGCTTAAGGAGATTGATGAATCTACTGCCACTCCTGAACAGATAGCTGAGTATAGGGCTCATGAGAAGGACACGACAAATGTGTTGTGCATCATGATAGCCACCATGACTCCTAAGCTTCAGAAGTCATATAAGGACTTCTGGACTTTCGAGATGCACCAAGACTTGATGGAAATGTACAATCAAAGTGCTCGACAAGAAAGGTATGAAATCATATCCTCCATGATAACGAAAAAAATGAAGGATGGGGAGTTCATCACGGCCCACTTGCAGAAGATGCAGAGATATGTGGACCGCTTGCTGAAGTTGAATGTTAATTTTGATGAAGAGTTGGATATCGACATAATCCTACACTCTTTACCTTCTTGTTATGATCAGTTCCGTATGACTTATCATATGAACAAGGAGGAAGTCACCCTTAGCAAGCTTCAAGACCTTCTCATAACTGTTGAAAGTAGTATGAAAGGAAAATCTGTTGTATCTACTCCTATTGTTGTTGCCCCTGTTCTTGCAATTGGACATGGGAAAGGGAAGAAGAGGAAGGCTTCTTCTAAGAGCCACAAGGGAAAGTCCCATAATGGATCCTCTTCTAGTGGGACCAAAGGTGGTTCTGCTACTACCTCTTCCAATCCGAAAGAAGCAGAGTGCTTCTATTGTCATGATAAAGGTTGCCCCAAATACTTGCAGGACATCAAGGATGGGAAGATAAAGCCCACCTTCGCAGGTATTTACACTACTAGAAAAACAGCCTTTTACGACGCGCAATGTGTGTCGTAAAACGCTCAGACGACGCGCAAATGTGTGTCAAGGAAGGCCCTGTCATAACGAGAGACGACACGCTTTTACGCGTTGTCTATTTACGACACGCATTTACGACGCGCATTTATGACATGTATTTACGACACGTATTTACGACGCGCAGTTATGAAACACAATGCGTATCAAGGAAGCCCCTGTCATAAAGGAAGACGACACGCATTTGCGTGTCGTAACCTTACGACGCGCGTCCTTATAACACGCAATGCGTATCAAGGAAGCCCGTGTCATAAATGAAGATGACACGCATTTGCGTGTCATAAACTTCAGTAACCATTTTCGATATGCATTTACGACGCGTCTTTACGATACCCATTTACGCATAATACAAAAATATGTAAACAAATATATACCAAAACAATCAATTTCATCCAATAACATCATGTCAAAAAATTGTAATACATTGATATTAAGGGGATCTAGTTGTACATTGTTATTAAGAGGTTTTCCCTAACTATATAACCTAATTACATTACTATTAAGGGACATCTTCTGCAATGTAATGTTATAGAAACTAAAAAGATATACACAAAGATGTTAAACATCAAATTCCAACTAAGTAGAGTTGCATCTTGCCTTTCATAATTCTTTAAGACTAATGAACCCCTGCTCCGATAATTCTTGTGACCTAATCAAATAAAAGTCAAAAAATTAATATGCTAATATAATTATTAGAAGAATCAAACATGGAATTTTAGTTGTAAAAGACGAAATTACCCTTTTCTCCATCCAAAGAATGTGGGACCGCACTTGAGATATGATATTTGATCCATGTGGTGTTCCGGGTTCCATTAAAACCTGCTCTGCATTGAAAATATTTGCATAAGTGTGTATCGATAGCAGATAACTTTGTGGTGTTCCGGGTTCCATTAAGAAATGTAGTCAGATTGTTAGAAGTTAGAAGTTATTCCTGCAACCACCAAAAGGGTGAGCGGATGTTTCTTACACGAATGAACCATACAAGGAAAACAAGCTGGCTACAACACTTCTTAAGGGATTCCTGCAACCACATGTTTTATACAAACCTAATTAAGCAAATTTATAATGTAGGGATTTAAGCTGAAATAACACAACTGTTATATTATAAAAAATAAAAAGATAAGAAAGAAAGAAAGGGAAAATTGAACATATAAGGAGCATACTTTCAATATCAACGTTTAAGGGCCAGTGTTGTAAGTTCATAATTCGTCCAACAAAATTTGAGAAAATGAGAAGGAAAAGACAGATGAGGGCAAGTTTGTAAAAATTAAAACTTAATGGGAAAGTCTAATTTTTTTTAAAGGATATAGATTTCAATATTTTCAGATATATATGTAGTTATTTCTTTTTGATCTTAACCCATTCAGCCACTTAATCCATAAAGGGAAAAAAGAAATAAGAAACTACAAGGATTAGATTAATAATTAATTCCATATCAGTTGATTTATAAACTCATTTTGATTCTTGGCTTCTAACTCAATCTCTGTGGCTACCTGTTAATAATATTGTAACATAAGAACACAAGGTAAGTATTAAAAAAAAAGCTACTTACATTCTTTAACTGTCTAACTTGTTTGCAGAGGCCACCAATCTCATCATCCAGTTCAGCATGCACTGGATCAATGTGAAGCTGGATTTCATCAGAATTAGTATAATTCATGAGTTCTTTACCAAAGACAAACTCCACATTCTGCCAGAATTTCTGACCATAGTTGTTTTGTATATCAAGCTGTGAGAGAAAGAGTTTGACTTTAGAGGATCAGTTAAATAATCGATTCAAAAACAAAACAAGCTAATAGTAAATTCTTGTGAAATGTAAGGGTTTATGGCCATACTGTTGTTTCAATTATAACAGCAACCACATTCAAGAGGAGAACAAAAGAAAACACATATCCCGAATTTGGACTTTTTACAAAGCTTTTCAGTGTTTACTTTTCAAGAGATATAGATGAAGACATTACACTGCAAAATTGGAATTTAAAGGAACTGGAATGTAAATCTGTTGCGAATTTGGAATGTAAATAGTGGCAAATATACCAACTGGCCTTTTCAGATTTCTTCTTCACCAAACTTTTTTTTAAATGCTATTACTTACTTGCAAAAATATCGTCTTCATGAAACTTATTTTAGGTAATAATTCATATTAGTGCACATAAAAACAAATTACAAAACATATATTAAACAATGAATAAGAAAAAGAGAAAACCAACATACTACGATGTTACTGTTAGTAATAGGGTTCAGAAATGGTATTCCAATGAAATTCAATTTTGTACTCATATGCAACCAAATGCCAAAATGGAATGGCATTGAGTTCCAATTCCGACCGATTAGCTACCTAAAAATCCCCTTAGTAATCTTCATAGTCAGGAAGGATCCATGATGATAATTATTGCAAGAAATGGAAATAAAGTTATAACAGAACCACACAACAAAATAATTGATAATAATTTACAACAAGATTGTCAAGTTTACCTCTGGAAAGTTGGCAAGTTTTGAAGGATTTGGTCTTCCCATGACAAGTGTGTAGGCCTTCTTCCCAGCTCTTGTAATCATCTCTTTTATTTGATGGATCATACTTAGATATCCAGCTGCATATACAACAAATCAATCAAAATAACATCTTTATTATTATGTTATTCAAGTAACAGATACAACAAATACAACAGATAAGCTCATATATAATATAACAAACATACCAACACCAAGTGTTGCCACCAATATTCCTACAATTTCAGCATCTTTTGCTTTCTCAATTAGGTAATATCTGCATAAACATTATACAGATGAGAGACTGTTGGAGTAGTAGTAAGAATAAGATAGATGTTTTTTCAATTTTTGTACAGACAGTTAAGCGATAAAAAGTACCTATGCTTGAGAATTCTTCGTTGTTGAGACGTATCTGTTAACATTTGATTTTCTGTTGCATCGTATCTGACTGAAAAGTTACCCAAAAATAAATAAAGAGATAAAAAAAATGACTAATTATCGGAAGAAAAAATAATCATAATCATATAATTAGTTGCTTAAAGGTATAAGAGATTGAGAGCCAGTCCCCAATCCCTGTCCCGACTTTATAGTTGGGAGTTGGGACACAAAAAGTATTTGAGTACCTATTTCACAAGCATTGAAGGTAAGTACAAGATTCGCAAAAGCTGAATTATCAGGCCCGATAAAACACAATGAGTAGTCATCCATATAAAAGGGGAACTTTTCTATTGACTTGTTAAAATGATATAGAATCATAATTCAGAAATACCTTGATCTATATGAAGCAGCACCATAGTAATTGCTGCCTTTGTGAGAACTAGATGCCATTGAACTGAAGGAACAAAGAATGAAACTGAATGGAAATTTAGAACCCTAAATCATGATAAGATTAAGATTAAACTTGCAAAAAGGACATTAGAATATAAAACCCTAAATCATGATAAGATTATCTTCGCATCCTAATTCTTGATTTCTTTTGTTCCTGTTTTATATATTATTTGAGTGTTTTCATGCGTGAGTTGATTTAAATCATTTTCCTGGACATTTATCATATGATTGTCAGCTCCCAATCATAATTGAAGGTACTCGATCGGACAAGAACAAGATAAAAAAGCACAAACACTATAAATTTGCAATTGTTGGAAGTCTTGAAGTCTCCATAGATTACGGGTTGTTCAGCATTGTGAAGGAAGGCTAAGCCTTTTGCTTCCCCAAAAGCAATCATCATTCTTGTTGGCCATGATAATGGCGCACATGTTTCTGAGGATTTCAAAAATAAGTTAACAGTATACAAAATCTGGTGTTCTTTCACAAGTTTTTTAGTCATTTAGAATGCCAGGAAGGGTAAAATAGTCATTTATAAATTTTTAATGTCTTTACTCTTTGTTAATCTTATTTGTATTAACAGAAATATATAAGCACGTTTCCCACACAATAAGCTATCAACAACCCTATTTCCTTAGAAATATTTACAATAATGAAACTATGCTAGATCAGTATTAGCTTTTACATATTTGTGATCAGAGTACAAACATGGCAAAATGATAAAGAGTAAACAGAATGCATCATTGATTATAAAGTTTATAGATTTACCTGTTGGCTAAGGGGTGCAATTGGAGTGACGACCTATAAAAGAAGAGAGGCATGAAGGAGTCAGAATAATTTGTTCAGCAAGAACCAAAAAAAACCTATTAATATAATTTATAAAAAGCTTCATTAAAGCATAAAAAATCGGCAGTGACCACAACTTTCAAGATGAGAGTTTTTGAGGGTTCTAATCTTGTCACACAGAATAAATGCACATGTATACTATATACAAATACGTAAATAGATATGTGTGAGGATACAAATTTGTCATGAAACGTGGATAAAAACAATGATAAAAAAAACAAAGGTTCTTGAATCACGAAACAGATAATGGGGGCATGAGACCTTGTTGTAAATCTGGAATACACATCAATATTGATCAGAAATAAAAGTCCATTAACAAAATTCAGAAACAAACTAGGTTCTAGCTAGATGCAGTTTCCAGATAACTAACTGCGACCCAAAAGGGCAGTTTGGTCTTTTTATCTTTTCTTTATTGATCTATTTGTTATGTTTAGACCACTACCGACTTGCAGTGGGGCATCCTTATGGGGACAAAATAATATAATAAAAAACTACCTATTTGAATGCATTCCCAATTGCTGAGAGTATGGGACTCCATACACCTAAAACACCATCAGGTCTTTGAGCCGGTGCAGTTTCCAAGGATAATTTTAGCCGGACTTCTGAAACATCTATTAGACTGTAAAAAGGAAAAAGATGGTGTTAGCATTTTGTTTGCACAGCCACAACTAACCTAATATTACATGTATTGTTAACAATAAGTCCATATAGAAGATTTATTACTTGACACGGATCTCTGGATCAACTTGTGCCACACTTAATGTTTGGGGGAGACGATCAAGTTGAACATTTCTGAAGAACTCTACCGAAGCCCAGATGATTGGCTCATGAATGTTTATCCTCCAAATTTTGTCAGTTACCTACAATAATATTAACAACAAAACTTTATTATGTATTAGAACTACCTTCCATATATATAGGGAAGTTTAAAGACAACAAGGGACTCGCTGATTACCCGTATGTAGAGGTATGGGTAGACCTGGATACCATCAGGGGTCTCATTGCATGTTGTAATTGTCATTTTGAAAACAGGGTGATTCATATCAGAGGCTTCTTCAGGTGTCAAAAGCACATGCATATATGTCAAAGGAAGCTGGTTGTCAAGCTGAAACAGAAACACCATAGAAGCATTTCGTCGAACACTTTAGAGGCAACAAAAAAAAAGGAAAAGGAAGTTAGGAGCGAAGAATACCTTTAACTTTCCTCTTCCCCAGCTCCATTCCAACCTTTTCCAACTACCCTCATATTGCTCCTCCTCGTTCATCTTATTTATCGCCTCCTCCAACCACCATCCTTCACCGCCTCTTCCGATTTTCATGGACCCGATCCGCTACTCCAGCCTCCGAGCGGAGCCCTCAAGTCGATCAAACCACTCGGTGGTCTCGAATCTCACGTGATGCACGTTAGCGAGGACTTGATCCCGAAGAGGGCTCTGTAAGAACCTCAATATCTTCTTCTCGACCTTCTCCATCTTCCGCGACAACTATAGGTTCTTGTAGATGTTCCAACGGATGGAGACGAGGAATTTTCCAACGAGTTCAAGGCCGTCACGGAGAGCTCTGGAGAGAGTATCAAGCTTCATCTGACGTGTCGGGGTTAACTCCACGGCGGAGTACTTGATTTGAGATACGAGCTTGGTTGTGTTATTCCTTAAGGATAAACAAAAAGGGATTCAGTAGTGGTGGAGGCGGATTAGGCTTTGTAGAGAAAAGGAGAAGGAGAGAATGAAGGTTGTCGGCTGGTGGAGAGGATAAATTATATGGTGAAATTCAAGCAGGGTTTGAGATAAACAAAATGGAAAGCACAAGAAGGAGAAGGAGGAGAACACACGAAGGAAAAGGAGAAGGAGGAGACGCAACAGGCGGGCTTTTAATTTTTTGGGGATTTCATTTCCCCCCTATCTACTAAACGTGCCTTCATTAAAATTATAAAGCGACACCTATAGAGGACGCGCATTTAAGATACAGCGCCCTCCGTGTTTTAATTTTTTTTTCTTATGACACTAATTTAAGGGCACGGAATAATGCATGACCTAAATCCTTAAAGTTTTTGAAGAGATGACACTTTTTTAATGTCACTCTCTTTTGCGTAACATAAATCAATGAGTGTCGTGGTTTGCACGTCGTAAAAGGGTCTTTTTCTTGTAGTGTTACACTATTCTATCTAATAACTCATCACATGCTAATTCTTGGGTCCTTGATACAGGATGTGGTTTTCACATTTGTTCTGATTTGCAGGGTCTAAAAAGAAGTAGGGATGTGGAGCACGGGAAGATGAACCTGATCATGGGGAATACGAAAGCATCGTCTGTCACCAAAATTGGAGTTATTTTTTATTGCTTAGTAGTGGGTTAGAGGTATATTTGAATAATTGTTGCTACTCGTCAGATATGGCAAGAAAAATTATTTATTTTCATGGTTTGTATAAACAAGGTTTTAGATTTTCATTTAATAATGAAATTGGTTCTATTAATGCTTTTTATAATGATATTTTTTATTTTGAAGCATTGCCTTGTAATGGTATATATGAAACTGTGATGGTTTTAGACAACTTTGGAAATAATGTATTGCATATTGATTCGTCCAATGGTTTGGAGAAAGCATGTTTGTGGCATTGTCGTCTTGGACATTTCAACAAGAAGCGCATAGCCCAACTCCAAAAGGATGAAGTGTTGGAGTCATTTTGAAAGATCTAGTATGCTCAAGAGTCATATTAAAGTGATATTGCTAAATAACATATGATACTAATGGGTCACACTAACAACAATTTGATACAATTGATTATTTATTAGAAATTGATTTTAATAAATATTCAATAAAACTCTTATAATTAAATTGGAAATTATTTATTTCATGGAAATAATAATTTTCATTAGCAAGTAACATAATATATCATATGGTATGATTTATTAAGTCATGTACAAACTTTTGGACTAGTTGAATCCTTTTGTCTTTTTCCTAAAAGACAAGGTTTATATTTTATAAAAGAGTTTATAAAAGTTTGACTTTCTTTCTTTTTTTATGTATAATTTCGAGATTTGCATGAAAGGAAGAGAAGTATGGCTTTTCCATTAGTTTATTCAAAAGAAATCATGCTTTAGAAGCATGCTTGGACATGATTATGACAAGGGGACATTTTTGTCTAAAGTGGAAGTACCTAATGGGTAAAGACTTCACTTTAAGACACTATATAATGAGGCTTGCATTCTTGAATGCTTTGCCCCATTCTTCTTGCTTATGGCCGAGAGCATTCTTCCCTTTCTTCCTCTCTTCTCTTGCTTTGAACCCTTGAAGATTTGATGCTTGCATTTTGCTCTCTTTGAACCATACTTGGGTTTGGTTCAAAAAGTTAAGAGTTTTATACAAAGAACTAGCATTCTATATCAAGTTGAGTCATTGTTGGTGTCTCAAAGGTTCCACATTTTTCATCAACTTCCAAGCCTCCCAAGAGGACCTAAAGAACTACAAAGTTTGTTATTTCTTCGCCTCTTCTTTGGTTTGTGTTTTAATCTTTCTATAACTTGCAAGAAGATCCTTGGTGGGTATAAAATGTTTATGTTATTTCAAAATTAAAGTCTTCCGTTGCCATATCTTTCAAGTTTATGAAACTATTTTTTGATCTAAAATCCAACAATTGGTATCAGAGCCATCTTGCAAGTTTGGTTAAATTTTTTTTTTATTTTTGGAAATCTTGGTTTTTGAAGAATATGGATAACTTGTTTTTGTATAAAAAATAAGTTCATACATATTTTCTTTGACAACTTTTAATTGTTAATTAATGTGACAAAAGTTTCATGCATCTTTTGTCATTTAAAGTTGTCTTAGAAAAACAAAGGTTGTTTTATGTATATGTTGATATATGATGTGCATAAACTAGCCAATGACCAATGTGTTGTTATGTTGTTGTACAAATGGTTGTAATAATTTATTTATTCATATGGTATGTAATAATTAAATATATTAGTTTTTTCTTGTTTATTTTTGTAAAGTAATAGATTAGTTTTTAGAAATAATTTATGTGTACAAAGATACAACAAGAAATGAAGTTGGAGCCCTTTTTTGAAGACAAAAGGGCAATTTTCGAGTTCATACATGTGCTGGGCAGAAAGATGACACCTTCTGAAAAGTGTCATGAATGCTACACATGTGCTGAACATA